ATGCGGAAAGTGAATATTTTCGTAGTACAAAATCCGAAACCAAATGTTGTCGCTAAAATAAACATGTCAAATGAAAATTTTTACTGGTACACAGTTCAGAAACAGAAAATACTAATATTGACCATCGTACAAATAGCCGGTAGTCATCGATCAATTAAAGTTTTGGAAGGAATTCAAATTCACACTTGCATGCCCTACACCATAATAATGGTATAATGACATAAAATCTCTGGTAGACTAATTATCTATAATATATATTTTAGGAGCATATTTACTCCCAAGTGACTATTTTTTGCCCAATTAAGTAACTATAAGTGTTACACTGCGCAGACGCGTATGAACAATGTGTAAGAGGATGAATTACATTACCGCAACATTTACCGCCACCTACTCATTACCGCATCAAAATAGGATACATTACCGCTTCATTTATATGTATACCTTAACACGACAATTCAACTCATGCCTTATGCGTCTACATGTATGAAGCACAACATGCATAAGACCCGTTTCCCTGCTCACCACGGGGAGGTGGAAGTAGAACTTTCAGCAGTTTTTTTTTATAACCTTGTTATCTAAAATCCATAGCCATTTTATCTCTCAGACATAATTCATTAAATGAATTTATATTGAATAGAACTCATAGTTAATAATACAATGTATACCTAGACTACTTTTCTATGAAATATTTTAATGATTCGATTACAGCAAGGTACTGTACTCGAACTGCGGTTGCATTGTGTTTGTGCATGGTTTTAATTTCATAAACCCCCACATCCTGTAAGAGATGAAATATAAAGTTTCGTAACATTTTCAAACAATAATGCAATATATTCCCTTTCCAATAAAAATTATATAAGCCTAAGAATACTGCAAAACTCTGTATAATTTTAATGACAGTAATTGGTACTATACGATATTTGAATTGTATGCATTGTCAGATGATAGCAGTAAAAATAAGATTATATATACACAAGAATGCAGAGTATTGCATAATTGTTCCTTTCTGCTACTCCTAATACGTACATCTACACAGATATTCTTTTGAAAAATTTATAGAAGGTATCGGATGTATTTGACATTTTTGTATCCCGCTTTTTAAATTCAAATTCATCACAAATATAAAGGTCCCACGCCCTTCAAAAAGTTCATAATTACCTAGGGAATATCATATTACAATCAATTATATATGAACTTCTAAAAAAAAGCAGAAAAAGGATATAAAGACATAAGAAAACTTTCGTATCAAATTTATTATTATTGAATAGCATTTCTTTCCTTACTAATTTATTATTGTATTGAATAGCATTTCTTTTCTTACCTTCAAACTTTATGTACCTATATTGACTTTTAACAACATAAGCAGTAAGTACATACATATATGATAATACATAAACGAATGAAATATGTGGAGATAACGAACAGTATTCCAGCTCAAAGTCCATTAAACATTACAAAATAGGAGCAGGGCAAACACGGACCTTTCAGAGGTAGGATCAGGTGCCATGGAGGAGTGAGCATCCACTGCCAACCAGTCACACCCACCGTGTGCTCCTTGTCATGATCGGGAAGTAACGGAAAAATCCGTCGACAATTCAGTGTGTAAATAACAATTAGTGTGCCTAACAATTAGTGGGCCTAACAATTAGTATGAAAAAAGTCAGTCAGCATTTGACTTAATGATATATTGTATTTGCTGACTAGGTCATTGTATCGACCATAGAACTTACGAAATTATGACTTTAAACGAGACTGCTGATATTCTTGTTTCATCAATTTGTTTGTCAATAACTTACCCCGTTTTAGAAATTGTTCATACGTAGAGCATGCTCTGGCTGAGAGATATAAACTCCGTATGCAGGTGATAAGGGTATACTGCTGCATAGGTAAGGGAAGTTGACGATTGAAAAGTTAAAGTCATCACGTTTATCATAAAGCTTTGTTGTTAGGTTACCATTAACGCTTTTTCTAATAAAATGTCCAAATGTCACATAGTAAATTTTACAAAATTAATGTACAATCTAACAAAATTTGATTTTATAAAAAGAATGATTTTTAATGCTTCATATACTTAAAATTATTTATCTAACAATTAATGTTTAGACAGTAAAAAGGAATTTGCCACTCAATATTTATTTAAGGAATTAGTGTCAATCCTCTGCCTCAAAAAGTGTCCGACTCGTATGTGTGATAATTGCGTAAATGTGTTAATTGAAATTTGAGTGAATGCCATGTGTTGTGTGAGAGAGTCAGTTTTAGAACCGCCATGGACAATCCCGGACGTGAATATTAGATGTACTGGACATTCCGTCATCAGGAAAACAAAATTTTACTCTGGACTATTCCGAGTTACCAAAACGTTTGTGTGTGTCCGTGTGTGAGCATTTCAAATCGTCTTTGTTTTATGTAACTTTACTCGATTTATTTTCGGATATACAAACTTCTACATTTATATTTCGTAAATTATCTTTTAATAAATTTCATCACAAGTTCACTTGTGTTACAAATATGAAACAGATGTGTCAGACTCTGTAGTATCTTTTATCTCAAGCTCAGCAGGATATATCGTGTCGACATAAAAATGGAAATAACCATTGTTAATTGACAATACGTCGTCGATATATCTAAATGTCGAGTTGAAGGCCACAGCAAGTGTGTTCTTCTTATCTCGTAAAAGATTTTGAACAAATTTTGCTTCTCATGAATACGAAAATAGGTCTGCTCATAACGGGGACAATTGGTACCCATGGGAATTCCAATAGATTGTTGTAAGACCTGGTCTCCAAAAACCACATAGATATTGTCAATCAGAAACTCGAGCATCTTTTTAATGTCAACTTCAGAGTACTTGTGTGTACAATCAGATTGTTTTTGACAAAGTAATTTTGCAAATGACCAATGACAAGGTAAGTAAATTTACGAGTTCCATTTTTATTGAAAAAGCAGCTGTCAACGATGTCAGAAAGTCTGGACTTTAATTTATCGTGGGGAATAGTTGTATATAAAGTTGAAAAGTCGTAAGTTTTTATGTTGTTAATTTTGGTAAAATTTTGTGATTTCAAATGTTCCAAAAGTCCCTTTGAATTTTTTTAGCATCCACATCTGATTTTCACCACTTTTCGAATATATTGTTGCACAGTACTCTTGAAGTTTCCCCTTCACCACTGTTAATATCTTAGTGAGTAGTAAAGAAAGAGGCTTGGTAGAACATTTACTGGAACCCGCTGTGTATCTTTGTTATATTTGTACAAAAATACATAAATGTTGGGATATATTTTACCCCACGATTTCTGCTACAATACCATTTATTGCAATTACACCAATATATAAGTTATACCATAATGTTTATCTCTATCATTGAGATATATACTGTGTGTGGGTGTGGGTGTATGTGTGTGTGTGTTAAAAAGAATTGAGATCAGATATTAAGTTGCATTAAACTTTATCATCGATCTTACAATGCTTTTGTTCATGCATATAAATATCAATATTTATTAAATAGAATGTTGACGATTGTAACATTTTACTGACATTTTACCTTCTGGAGCTTAAAAAATATTATATACTAAGTATAGGAGGTAAAAAAAGGTAGCGTCCTGTGGCAAAACATATCATCAACAAACCAAAAAAAAGGAAAAGTATATTTTCATCTTGAAGTACATTGATACGTGACAAATGTCGCCAGGTACGACCTCACTGACCATCATGCGTTCCCCTTCAACTGTTCCACCTCAGTTCTTCCCTTTCTCTCTCTCTACTTAGTAATTCCATTTGGTCTTCCTCGCTTTCTTTTCCTTACGAAATCCATGTTAATATAAATTTCATGCTTTATCTGGTGTCTATTCTGAAAATATATTTGTGGATAGTAGTAAGATTCTTGCTCTTTCATATAGTTTCGGATTTGAGTTCTTACCCTCTTATTTTCTTTCTTGGTGATTCTCCAGAGCTTGAAACAATATAGCAATACTGATATGACATTTGTATTGAAGATTCTTAGTTTGGTTCTTGTGTTGTACTGTGCCGACTTCCATACTTGGTTCAGGGATGAAAATTAAAGCACTTAGGGCTAGGCCTAGGACGAGATATAAGAACTTCCGGTTAGGGTTGTAGTGTACGATAAAACCTAAGACCTCAGAATGGAAAACTCGGAAGTCTCTGGTTTCATCCAACATTTATAATCCCAACCGGAAGTTTTTGTATCTCGTCTAAAGTCTTAAAATATATCGAGGTAATTTTCTAGGAATAAATGAGTGGTTTACAATAAAGAGGCTCAACGAGGGACGTCTGAAAGGATTTATTTGACATGAAAAAAGTCTCTTGAAGCGAACGATGCCATGTTAAAGTAGGTTAATGATTGATATATTAATAAAATACGAGCTTGAAGCGGAGGTGCCTGAAATTAAGCTAGGTACCTTGTGGAAAGAAAAAGAAGGAGGTGACCCCATATACGAAACAAATGCCTGTGACTCCTCCCGTGTCCAGATGCAAAAAAAAAAAAAAATTAAAAATAGTTGTGTTCCCCGATTTTATCACAACTTTTACTTATCCAGTCTTGCATCTATAGATGATGCTGCGCCTACGTACGCACATGACCAGTAATACTTCGCTTATATTTGATCATTTATCATTTCCATAGTTGTAATACCTACATTGACCAGGTTTGTATTCTTGCTGCCTCTATGGATATGCACCTGCAGTTATGCATCGCATGGTACACGACTATATATGATCAGAAGATAAACTTGTGCATCCTAAATAAAATTATACTTGTACATGTATGTCCTTGAATGTAAGACTACATATTGACTTTTTTTCATAATTTTAAAAGCCTAACTAAAAGATGCGTGCAAACGGTGCATGCAAAAACAAATCAAAAGCCAAAGTACACGACCAAAAGTGAGTCATCATTTCATTTTCCACTACTTTTACACAAAATTTTCATGACACTTTTTTTCGCGAAATTGTAGCAGGTAGAGAAAGAGAGAAAAAAAAATCTCGAACAAAGGCAAATGTTGTATCTTTAATAATACAAATATACTCGAAAAGGAATTTTTTGCAAGCAGCAAAATCAAGCGAAAATAAAGTTCTAGTGATTGTACTCTTACACAAAATTTTCGTGACACCTTTTTTCGCGAAATTGTAGCAGGTAGAGAGAGAGAAAAAAAATAACGAACGATGGCAAATGTTGTATCTTTAATAGTACAAATATACTCGAAAAGGAAATTTTTGCAAGCAGCAAAATCAAGCGAAAATAAAGTTCTAGTGAATTTTGAAACAATGGTTACCAGTACATAAATTTCATTGAATAAAGAAATTAAATGAAAACTTATTGTGGGATCAATTTTAGCCCATTTTTTCCACTCAATTATACAAAATTGTCCACATTTTCTTTTCCTAAGATGCTCAGCAAAATGTGACACATTGATCATTGAAAATAATTTATGAAATCATTAAAACAAAATTTCTAACATCAAAATAATGTACCCGGTAGTTTATTTTTAAATATTTCTTTAAATTAAAATTTCAATTTCGCAATTAACACGTGATATACCGCTAAAAGATTAAATTATTTTGAAATAAGGCGAAGAAACTGTAAATAATTCGGCATTTCATGCTGTTATATAAATAAAAAATGAGCCACAACTAACGTTGCAGTATGTATTTTTCCCCCAAAGGCATTTTTTCTATGAAATACGTAGTTTAAAAAATGACTATATAATAGCCAGGTACTGTACTCGAACTGCAGTTACATTGTGTTTGTATATGCTCTAATTTCATCGACTTCAATATCCTAAAAAGATTAAATGTGAAGTTTTCAGACAACAACGCAATTTTCCCCCTTTCCTATAAAAAAATAATAATAATAACCTTTATGAATACTGCACAACTCTGTATTATTTTTATTGACAGTAATTGGTACTATACGGTATTTAAATTATATGCACTGTCAGATGATAGCAGTAAAAACAAGATTATACCTACACAAAAATGCAGAGTATTGCATATTTGTTCCTTTCTGCCACTCATAATACGTACATCTACACAAATATTCTTTTGAAAAAAATTATAATAGGTATCAAATGAGTATGATTTTTTGTACCCTGCTTTTTAAAATTCGCATACAATACAAATATAGAGGCCCCACGCCCTTCAAAAGGTTCATAACTACCCAAGAAATCTCAACTTACTATCAAATATACATATGAGTTATTCGAAGAAACAGAAAAGGGTATAAAGACAATAGAAAACGTTCATATTAAATTTATTATTATTAAATTTTTCTCCTTCAGATTTCACATTGATTTTTAACAACTCAAGCAGTAAATACATACATAAATGATAAAACATTAGTATACGCATTATACTTGTACAAAAATATATGGAAATGTTGGGATATATTTTACACCATGATTACTGATAACAACACCAAATATTGTAATTATACCAATATATAAGTTATACATTTGTTATCTATGTCATTGATATATACATATTCTGCATGTGTATTAAAAAAATTAAGATACATGTATTTGCATCGAACATTTTCATCGATCCTACAATTTTTGTTCATGCAGATTGATCTTTATTAACTAAATGTTGATGACTGACATCCTTCTCGAGCTTGATAATGAGATTTCAACATAAGATATTTTGGAAGTAAAATAGGTAGTGATCTATGGAAAAAAAAATCATCAAACCAAAAATTGCAATGTATATTTTCATCTTAAAGTACATTTAAGTTCGATTTTTTTTCGAGTAATAACTATGCTTCATAAGAATAAGTAGTCAAGTTTTGGTGTTTGTTTGTATACAGCACTCTATGCCTTAAATTATGCTTAAAATAATGATTTTAAAAATTAAAATAATGAATACCAACTTGACCAACAAGATGCTTATATGAAAATCATCTCAATACCATTGCAACAATAATTAACAAAATCATGTGTTATACAGTTGTGTAAAAAAAGAAAAATAAATATTGTTGAGATAAATTAAATACAACATATGATATAAAAAGATACAAAAATACAAATATTTAAGTTATTGAAAGCACCATGCAGCATCACAAAATAGAACTTGTTGTTTTCATCTCAAGCTCACAACTTTTTAAAATGCCTATCTGTCATTGGAACCCATCTTCTACCAAGGATTTCAGAAATTTCCTCGTTAGTTGTCTCGTAAGATCTTGCAGTCTTTCTAAAATCTGCATCTCTAAAGGTGTTGTCCGTTTTGGGACCGTCACATCTTTTCAGAAGTCCATTTTTGCGCACAATATATTTCTGAAGAGAAGGCTTTGTTTTGGCAATCAGAAGTGCGGTCGCTGTAGATATCCTTTCGCTGATGACAAGTGTATGCAGCTTTGGACAACTCCTGACCAGCATCAAAAAGGCGGCATCACCACGGTCATGAAAAGTTCGAGGTCCATGTGTTCGTGGGATTCGCTTTTGAACAAAACTCTCAAGTATTTTGTGGTAATAGTGGACAATCCAAACAGCCGTCTCGTGTGGGAATTTCAAATTTGCTGAATCGTAAACGATACGGTTTACAGGGGCGTGAGGTTGAAGCATCAACGGTGTTTTTGTGTGACCACGAACTTCCAAAGTCACGCGGAAATTTGGCGCCATTTCCTTGAGTAGACGCCACGCATCGTCTGACACTGGGTCAGCATTACAAGTATAACGTCCTTGAATTATATGAAGGTTACTGACCCCTGATGATGCAAGAATTACAATCACTTCGTCATCAAGGTGCTGGGGACTTGTTCTCAGCGTTTGTAAATTATCGAACAGAGTGACATCAAGAATGGGATGTGGAACTTTCGTGAAGTTCAAAATTTCCAGTGTCTGAATCGTGTCGCTACAGTTATTGGCAATTGCTTCAAACAAGCCAGAAACTTCAACTTCGTCTAACATAAGATTGTTCAGTTTCAGGTCTTTAAGCAATTTCATGTTTTGAAGAAGATGGCGAAGCTCTTCCATCATTTTCCCTCCGGTTCCATGCAAGATAACACCGGTTATGCCCCGTGTCTCGCAAGTAAAAGTAAAATGGAACGTATGCAGTAAGGGCATTGGGAATTCATCGAAATAACCCAGAAATGCACGGAGTATGCGGATAAACTCGTATACATGCTGAAAGTCATGAATGGGCGTGATAGTGATTTTTTTGAAGAGATATCCCACCCTGTGCAGACAAATTTGCGTTTTCCTTGGACAAGTTTCTCGCTGATATCCTTTAAAAATGCTGTACCTTCTTTTTGTCAAGATATTTCCTTTCAGCATAAAATGTTCCCAGACTCTTGGAGCATAGAATGTTTCGTACCACCGGCGACAAACTTGTGAGGCCTCGTGCCGATGACGAGGTTCTAACAGAGTGAATATGTCCTCCAACAGGATGTCTGGTAAATCCTCCCAGTCACTCTCCTCTTCCAACATCTTATATCTATTCTGTAAAAGTGAAAGTAAAAATCTCAGTTTCTAAACCATCTATGTAAATTGAATATAAGTTGTGTACATTGTTATATAATTGTCCTTTCAAAAAAGATTGGCACTTAAGACTTCACAGTATACGTTTATCACCTACTGTTTACAGGTGCTTGTGTTTTGATTCAGTTTATGTACTAGAAGCCGTTGGCAAGTTTATTCGAAAAGCAAAATGGAACTTTTGTATATAAAAAAGAGAATTATATACTGAGTTTTAGAGGGATCCGTTTCTTAAGGGTACGAGTTTTTAATTGTTCAGCTTTAGCAGAGATCCCAGAGGTAGAAGCAATGCTGCTTTTAAAATACATACACTAGTGGCAGACAACTCGCACTAGTAAATATAATATTTCCCGCGAAATACGAGTATAGAATGAATACGGAGTTACAGTAAGTCTCCCTCTCTCTCTCTATATATATATATATATCAACAAATGAATGAGTTAATATAACCAGATCTTTATTAGTAAATTCGTTTTAACGAGATCGTTATGCGTTCCTTGAAACACGGCTTGTTCTATTTTCAAAACATGCAACCAGTGAATGTATTGGCCTTCGAACACAACAAATGGGTAAGTTTCGGTGGAAACTACACATTTTGATCAGAATGAAAATCTACCCACGGACAAAATAACATCTGTGTGTGGCTATAACATTCCAGAAATAATAAAAGTTTGATGTTGATTTATATAGAAACAAGGTAAATTTTGATCATCCGTTGGAAAATTAATTAATGTCACCATAACTGTTTAATCTGAAAGAAATATGTTTAAACAATAGTATCCCTTTTCATACAATTTGCTTTGAATCCGTTGCTTATTTTAATTGGCGCTAGCAGAACCCTTAATTCATTGTGTAATGATCTTAATCAAAATCAAAAGAGAGATAAAGACAGAGATGCCTGACGGTGGCCTCTAATGAGATTTCTAGGAAAATGAAGTCATCTTCATCCATAACTTACCGTGCTGTTTCTACATCAAAATACCGTCCGCTTAGAGCAGGTCCACTTTTATGTTTGGAAATCCTTTCTACGACTCGATTATAAACTGCGTCTACAAAATACACGCGTGCCAACACTGTCTTCTTTGTTTTGCAACCGTTTTGGCTCCAGCTGCGTCTAATCTAGTCATCACAAGGCTGTGCGGTGAGTACGTGTGTTTACTTATGTTCCAGGGGTACCGAGGGGGTCTGTCCAGAAAGCTGTCGGTTGCTTCTTTTGCGTCATGAGGAGAGACAATCAGGGCTGAATCAATATATCGATATATTCATAAGTATCGATATTCAAGAGTGTATCATATCGAAATGTTAAATTCCAACACAATATAAGACAGACAGTTTACTTCAAATCTTTGCAAAAATTGGAAATTTTTAAATACCAAAGATTACATTTGACCATTTTGAAATCAAACTAACCTATGATGAAATGAACATTTAAGTATGTTAATAATTATTGCATTCACATATGTGCACCTTAAATTGGGACATGTACTTAATCACTACTTTCACATGTTGGGTCTACAATTGACAAAGGTTTTTAAAAAACATTGTCTTCAAAAAATATATCTTAAGACAAAACGAATACTAATCTCAAATACATTAAGAATCGTTAAAAACAATTTTATCGTACCAAAATTTTTCGTTCAATATACAGTCCTAAAACAGTCCTTTTCTTTTAATTGTAATGTAGAAGACCAGTGGCGGATTTAAGGGGGAGCACATCCGGCGCCCCCTAAAATTGTCAAAGTTAGCGTAAATCATAGTTTCGTCGAGAAAATGTAAAATAAAAATGTCTACTCGTAGACCTCATTTTTACCCTACAAAATCTCTACAATCCAGGAGCTTCCGGGGGCTTCGCCCCCTAGGACCCCACAAGGGCTTCGCCCTGGACCCACTATAACTGCCTACTTCTTGCGCCCCCCCCCCCCAACTTCAATTCCTGGATCCGCGCCTGAAGACTTCTTTTATAAGGTATGCATGACAATTATTAAGTTAGAATAGAATGGAATGGAATAGAATGTAGTGGAATAGAATGGTGTGTCATAAATAGCTTAATTAGTAAAGTGTGTTGTTTTTAATTACAAACCAAGCATTTTTTTCCAACATTGTTAGCACTAGTAAACAAATAGAAATCTAAAAAAAAAAAATCAGGATTTTTATTTATTGAATTAAGTACTTGAAATACAGTGAATACCGTAGTGGATTTATTCTTTTGCGGCATGCATGCATATTTTCTGTAATTGCAAACTGCACATATTCATTTATGGGACATAGAGAGAGATTTGAAGTTTACATTATTGAATATTTTCGATAAAATTCCATATTGAAAGAAATTTCCAGACCGATAAATTTATCATGAAAAACAACTTCTATATCTGAAAAATAATAATAAAAAAAACTACGAATTTCGGGTATATATAATATCTTTTTAATTATTAAAATAAATAAATCTACATGTATACGGTCATTATACTTATACTAAGCATTAAAAAAGTTTAATATCGTTGAAATGAAAACTACATGTATATATCAGGGCCGTTTTGGTGTTTCTTGATAGGGGGTGCGGAATATCGGGTCTGGGGGAGGTACTTCTTCCTCCGAGTCAAAGATTTGTGTTTAATTGGGTACCATTTAAGTGGGTTCTGTTCAATTTTTTTTTAACATATTAATTAAATAAACAAAACCTAGCAACATTACTTATAACAGAGGAACAATGAATTCATTTTACTTAAAAATAATATTTTTGAGAGTTTTTTTTCCTTTTGGTTAAAAGATGGTGGGAGTGTGGGTACCCAATGTCCCTCGCCCCACCCCCATGTGAAGATAACGAACAGACATAAACCCTACACAGGCCCATAGGAAGCAACTTCAGTTGGGGGGGGGGCACAACCATACATATTCAGTTGAGGGGGCACTATCAACTACCAAAAATTTCTTGACAAGCAAAAAAAAAAAAAAAAAAAAAGGTCATCAGACGTTTTTATTGAGGGGGCACAAGCATATAGCATATAACATCTATGTTTTCTATAGTAAATTTCGTATTTACTTAAAGTAGTATTTATTTAAAGTAGTATTTCGGCAAAATCATTGGGGGGGGGGGGGGCGCCCGTGCCCCCGGTTCCTTCGGCCATGCTACATGCAGGTGCATGATAGTATATTGTTGTACACAAAAATTGAAGTTATATCATGTTTGTCATGAAGTTTACTTGTTAATTTGCCATCAGTGCCTTCATTTTTAAAGAAATTTCTTTTCTTTTACTAAATTAGTAAAATACCCAAACATGAAGCAGATGTCAGACTCCGTAGGCCTAATGTCTATTAAATGTTGAATTGAAGGCTTCAGCATATAATATATCATATCCTGGCGATAAAATTTCACGATCATGTGGTATTGAAAATACAAATATTAAGCATGTTTTCTTTTCTTTCTTCGCTGATAACCTCCTCCATTTCCTCCAGGACGTAGTCCAACACAACACAGGACGATCGAATGATATAAAATTACGACGTAATTTACGTACAACTTATCTTTCACCCTAGAAGGAAAAAAAAAATAAAAACAAAAGCACGATGTCCGAAAGTTCCGATGAGGATTCTGGTGGATTTAAGATAAATAAATCATATGCATCTAAATATAACGATTGGCGAAGAAGAGAAGAGCTACAGAAACGTAAGAAATAAGTGGAACATTTCTATATTATTCTGAAGAAGCCTTCACAGTATGGCATTTGTACACCATCAGATTATCATCATTATGCTCGACAAATCTCTATTTTTTTTTCTTTTTTGTGTAGTTGTACTTAATTCTGTACAATTGATTGAAGTTATTGTGAACTTAAATATTAATGAGTATTGATTTTTGTCAAGATACAGCTTATTACTGTCGTTTATAGCTACAGGACTGTAGCTCTGTGGTCGAGAAAATTTGGCCAGATAAACCAGAGAGTTTGTAAAAAAGCATAGGCATATAAGAGCATCTTTTATACATCTATGTAAAAAGTAAAAAAAATTTGATTTACATCACCTCCTTTTTTTGTCACTCGCTTCAGGTATTATTTCTTGTAGGCCTATTTTATGTGTTCCACCACCAAAACCATGGTATTCGTTAATTAACTATATATTTTACTCATAATCTGTTACTTTATTTACCTTTCAGCAGTTCCAAAGAGCCCTAAATCATATGGCCCAGGATTGTCAGTTTTAAAAATTCATATTCCGACATCCATGTTGGGGTCATGGTAAGATAACACACCTGAGTTTTATAATGTTTAATTTCTTTTTAATATCTATATTGCATCAGGGGTGTGCAATTACAAAAATTAGTTACTAGCCCATCGGGCTAGTGGCAGTAACAGTTACTAGCCCAAGGTTGCCAGTCACTAGCCCTTTAACTACCGAAAACAATACATGTATTAGTATAACAACAAGGTAAAAAAAAAAACATTTAACATGTTTAAGTTGAAATAAATAAAACAAATAATGGTTTGCACTTTGTTATTGTTAGGTACTTTTCCCTATTTTTATCAACTATAATTGTCACTGAAAGGACTGGTGATAGCAACACACAATACGTGTAGGTTAAAACAAATTAAAGATTATGATTTACAACAAAGTTAATTCGTACATCAATTGAGTCGACATAAATATACTTTTGTTTTAGATTTACTAGCCCGATGGGCTAACGCAGTATAGATTTATGATAGCCCGACCTTTAAAATTGGTAGCCCCGGGCGTCTGCGATGGTAATTGCACACCCCTGTGCATTCTTTTAAAGATAATATTAATGTTATGTGAACCCCCCCCCCCCCCCCCATTTTAATAAGATTTTCCCAACATGGATGTCTTAATGTGAATTATTAAAACTGACATTCCAAGGCCATATAAGAAAGGTAAATAAATTAACAAGATTATGAGTAAAATATATGGTTAATTAATAGATACTGTGCTTTGGTAGGGGGAATACATAAAATACAAGAAATAATACCAGAAGCAAGCAACAAAGAAGTGGCAGTGTATATTGAAGGTTTTTACATTGCTTGGATCTGTAGCTCTCTGGCTTGTATGAACTACCATTTCTAGAACTTAAAAATGAATACATGCAAAATGTTTTTTTTTTTCACCTTAATTTATGCATCAGGGCATTGATAATTTTGTAGATGCATACATATACAAATACAATTAAGATTAAAATTCTCCAAACAATGAAACCAGTTAGGTTTTGTTTCTACAGTCAGAGATCGATATGGAGATGATGCAGAATTAGAAGAAGATTCCAGCTCCTCTGAATCTGAGGATGAAGATGCTGAGGTAAATTTGGATAGCTGTTGCTGTAAAGAAAAAAAAATATCCATGATTCATCACTGCATTTTGATTCTAGTATAGTTTTAAATTTTGTCATTCAGGCACTTACTGCACAATTAGAAGAAGACTGGTTTAAGACATTGGCAGCACTTAAAAGCAAAGATCCAAGAATTTATGATAAAAATGTCAAGTTTTATCATAGTGAAGGTAAGCATGCAAGCTTAGTGAATTTTTTAATAGAATGAAGTATTTGACGTTGATCACAAGCTTCTGCAGTATTGCTTTGTCTTTTTTTTTTTTAAATTTATGTTTTTTGTACATAGAAGAAAAAAGTGATGATAGCTCAGATGAACCTGGACCGAGCAATAAGAAAGAAAAGCCAGTGTATCTGAAAGATTACCAGCGAAAGGTTATTCTGGAAAAGGAAGGGTAAGTCTGTGTATCTTTACCTGCATTTTTATATTGTAGCAATTAGTAAAAATTAAATGTTTTGTTTTTGACAGTATTATTTATAAGTATTTAACGATCCAAGCATTTATTTTATAAATAAGTGCAGGAATTAATGGGCGAATGTTGTTAATATAAGTTTATGAGCATTGATTCATTTGAACGTTTTTTTGTATACATTGGTTAAAAATTAGTGTTTCAAAATCATACCAAATTTACTATCGATTATCAACTTGAATTGGTAACATATAATCAATTATAAGATCAATAGTTTGAACTTTAATTTATTGGTTAAATTAAATATAGTTAACCATGAACATTCAGATATCCTCATAAATGAAAACAATATTTCAATACAAATCTGCGAGACCAACTTTAATTTAGGTATAGTAGAAATATTTGTGATTTGCAAGAAAAATAGAGGTAGAGTCCTTTGATTTTGTTAAAGGATTAACCAGTTTGTATAAAAACATATTTTGAAAAAAAAAATTAGAGACAATTGAGTTTAAAATTTTTTATCAATTGTCAACAACGTGCTGCCTTCAGCGATGATTTTTCAGTAGTCGACAACTATCATAACAACACTATTAAAAATATCATCCTTTTTGTACAAAGTTTATTGGAATTATAGTTCAGGTGTAATGTCAGTGAAATTTTGTCATTTATGTTTCCAGTATGGTAAGTGATGAGGAAAGTGATGAAGATGAAGAGATCAGCCATGAACCAGGGTATTATGAAGAACAAGAGGAGATCAAAAAGAGGTAGGGATAGATACATGTATGTCTCAAGTGTTAAAAGAGACGGGATAGATACATGTATGTGTTAAGTGCTAGACAGGAAATATACCTGTATGTGTTAAGTCTTAGACAGGATAGATACATGTATACATGTGTTAAGTGTTAGTTAGGATAGATACATGTATGTGTTAAGTGTTAGACAGGATAGATACATGTGTTAAGTGTTAGTTAGGATAGATACATGTATGTGTTAAGTGTTAGACAGGATAGATACATGTATGTCTTCAGTGTTGGAAGAGACAGGATAGATACATGTACATCTTTAGTGTTAGAAGAGATAGGATAGATACATGTAAATCTTTAGTGTTAGAAGAGACAGGATAGATACATGTATATATTTAGTGTTAGAAGAGACAGGATAGATACATGTATATCTTTTGTGTTAGAAGAGACAGGATAGATACATGTACATCTTTAGTGTTAGAAGAGACAGGATAGATACATGTAAATCTTTAGTGTTAGAAGAGACAGGATAGATACATGTACATCTTTAGTGTTAGACAGGATAGATACATGTATATCTTTAGCATTAGAAGAGACAGGATGTGTTAATTGTATCTTTATTTGTTATGAAGAGATGACATTTAATTGAATTTCATATTCTATATTGCAAAGCATTGTAATAATTGATTTTAAGAACCAGATACAGTAATTAAATAATTGATTTTACATTTTAGTTTTTTAAGGCATAGTGTTAGTCAGAACCAAATCATGGCAAATAGATACATGCATGTATATTGTACAGAATATTTCATGTTTACTTTTCAAATGTAAAATGGCTTTGATTTTATTTTAGTTTTAAAGAAAAACTGGCTGAAGAATCTGATTCAGAGGGGGAACTTTTTACAAAAAGGTTGAAAACAAAAGAGCAAGAGGCAAGTTCAAAAACAACTTTAAATGTTTGAGGAATTAGTGATGTGCATACTTATTTCATATTGCAGATATCTGAACAAGTAGAGAAGAATTTATTCCATTGTAGTGTTTGTGTTTTTTTAGGAGGAGGAGGAGAAAGATTATATCAAATGGTTGAAGGATCAGAAAGATTTAGAGGAAAGAGACCCAGTAGGAGTAGAACTGGTAATAATCTCACCTTCTCCAAAATTATAAAGCAGTACATTACTGGTTTAATGAATGGATATATTTAAAAAGTTCCTTAGTAAGCACTACTTAATAGAAGAGAGATTTACACTGTGGGTGTTTTATTATTAGGCTCCACTGAAGAGTTACTGGAATGATCCTAAGCTTAGTGCAAATGAAAAATTCCTCAGAGATTTGATACTGAATAAAGGATACATTGATAAAGATGGTAGAAGGTATGCTGAATATGTAATTATTGGAAAAATCCCTTCATTACTCACATTAACAATTAAAGAACTGCAAATGACAAGTCAGAAAAAAAATGTTTATGGTCCAATACCTCTCATTCTTAATAGTGAATTTCTTTAAACAAAGTAATACTTTAAAAAAATTTCCAAATTTAAGGATAATTGTAGTAAATCCTTGTATTAATATAATAATTGACTACTAAGTAACTAACCTATTTTTATTGATCCTTTTTTACAACAGATTACCTTCCTACAATGAGATAGTGGATGATGGGGAGGGGTTTTCTGAGGAGGAGGAAATTCTGGAAAGAGAAGATCAGTTTGAAAGAAAATACAACTTCAGATTTGAAGAGCCAGACCCTGACTTTGTATGTCAGTTGTTTTTACGTTTAAAATGTGTGAATAAACACTTACAGGAATCATCTGATAATTGCAAAAATAGAATAGAGTTCATTATTACTTCTCAAAAAGTAATCAGGATTACTTTTCAAAAACCTTTATTGCAAACATACTGGTAGAAATATTATATCTACCTGACAGATTGGTGATTTTATTTTTAAGTAGAAGTATGAAACAAAAAGTATAACAAATAAAAAAGAATTCTAGATATTGAAAATAAACCTTAAAGAAATAATAATCAAGAAAATTTATTTTTTTTAAAGAGTAAACATTTGACCATCATTCACATTTTGTATTAAACATGGTGTTCTTGAAAACAAAATACAGTTGACAAACATATACCAACATTGCCAATTAAGGAACTCTACATGCTGAATAATGGGCATAAAAATTCAAGAATTTTTTTGTAGATCAAGTCATACCCTCGAACCATTAAAGATTCAGTGCGTCAGAAGGACACAAAGAGAGCAGAGAAAAGAAAAGAGCTGAAAAAGAGGAAAGATATGGTGAGTGGTACAAAACAGACACAAAAACAGGATGCTCTTTCAACCTCAATCATTTTTCATAAAAACAAAGTATTAATTCATTGAAAGGCAATAATTGATAAGATTTGTTTTTGACAAAATATCAAGAAAGTGTGTTATATATTTCTCTTAGAAAGTAGAAACTGCAGGAAGATTTTTTTTTTACAGGAAAAACAAAAGATTAAGGAGGAAGTCAAACAGCTGAAAAACCTAAAAAGAAAGGAGATAATGGATAAAATAGATAAACTAAGGGAGATAACTGGTGATCCAGACCTAGACTTTAACGAGGAGGATTTAGAAACAGACTTTGATCCTCAGAAACATGATGAAATGATGAAGGTCATTGTTTTAACAAAATAAAAAGGATTTTTAGTGAGATTCTGCAGATTGTTTACTTGCAATGTAAAGATCTTAAAAATATAATTTATTTATGCATAGATTGTAACTTTAATTTTACTGTTAATATTTTGCTTTTTAGAAATACTTTGATGATGAGTTTTATGAGATGGAGGAGGGAGACCAGAAGCCAGAGGCACCAGCTGATATAGAGGATATCCAGTGTGGTATGTACCAGCTGATATAGAGGATATCCAGTATGGTACATGTATGTACCAGCTGATATAGAGGATATCCAGTGTGGTATGTACCAGCTGATATAGAGGATATCCAGTGTGGTATGTGTCAGCTGATATAGAGGATATCCAGTGTGGTATGTACCAGCTAATATAGAGGATATCCAATGTGGGATGACCCAGCTGATATAGAGGATATCCAGTGTGGTATGTACAAGCTGATATAGAGGATATCCAGTGTGGTATGTACAAGCTGATATAGAGGATATCCAGTGTGGTATATACCAGCTGATATAGAGGATATCCAATGTGGTATGTACCAGCTGATATAGAGGATATCCAGTGTGGTATGTACAAGTTGACATAGAGGATATCCAATGTGGTATGTATGGAGAAATGTAGGATCTGCTATGGTTTTAGGTTAGATATTATTTTTATCCAACAACTTGTATGTTTTTTATCCCCAGTCCTTGACAAGGGGATAAAAAAAAAACAGTGAGTTAGGCAAAAATCTTATATTTAACCACATTATTGATGGGTACAAACTTTGTAGAAATAAGACTTTCAAAAATACTACTATAGATGTGGTACTTAATACATGTAGGCCCTATAAGGCACTGCCTAACGGAAGAAGTGTGTAGTGGTAATGTATGTACATATAAATGTAGAGGTAATGTATTTTATTTTATAGTGGTAATGAGTATGTAGTGGTAATTGCAATTTTGAAATTGTAGCTGTAATGTAATGCACCCATTATAGGTTAATAGTCATAAGTATACAACATATTTGTTTCACACTATACATAGGAGGTTACACATGCACAATGAGAAGTGAAAGATTTATTGCAAACATGACTTTTAGACCTAACGATTCACTGTTACAGAGAACTGGGATGAGTGGAATGGAGGGGATGTGAAGGGATATGACGAGGAGTACAATGATATTGATGATAATTATGAACCACACGTAGATGATCCTGACTTTTGTGTAAGTACAGAAAGTAACCATTTCATTAATGACAATGAAACTTTAGAAAGTTATGGGTATATAAAGCATTTAAATTGTATACCTAGTATATATAATTTGTCTGCCTCTATGGCATTACTTGCTGTTAGGGTTTGACCTTTTATTAATTTCATCTGAGAACCTAAAAAACAAAAGATGATTCAATTATTTCTTATTTTCCTCTGCTTTAGATGGATGATGACTATGACCCAACAAAAATTGTTAGTCGAAAAAAGAATAAGAAGAGGAAATCAAAGTTTGTGGAGGCAGTCACAACTTCTAAACCTACATTTGACCCAAGTAAGTTAAATGTTTCTGAACATTATGAGACATTAGCTACATACACACTATCATGTGAGCAAATAGTAAAATGCGAGTTAATCAATTTTTTAACTGAAATGTTTCTTTGTTTTATGAATTGAATATGGTGATGCTTTGGTTTGAAAACAGATGAGAAGACTTTTGAGGAGTACTTTGAAGAATATTATAAACTGGACTATGAAGACATTGTAGCAGGACAGCCATGTCGATTTAAGTACAGAAATGTTACACCAAACAGTTACGGCCTAGAAGTGGATGAGGTAATGTGTTTTGTTTTTTTTTTCAATCGATTGCAATTTTTTTTTGTATTTACACTATAGTAATGTTTGTAATCTTTCAATGAATTTTATAATAAAGCATCATCACACATGTATGCAATACAGCATCTTTGAAAGATATCAAGGGTAAAGTACTTTTTCCACTTCAACAGATTTTGAAATGCAGAGATAAAGAGTTAAATGCTTGGGTTTCTGTGAAGAAAATGAGTCAGTACAGGTAATACAGGTGACTCTCGATGGCTCGAACTCCAATCTCTCGAAGTTCTCAATCTCTCGAAGTGAACCTCCGGTCCCATTTTTTCCTCTATATAACTAAGCAAACTTACTTCTGATCTCTCGAACTTCCGATCTCTCGAAGTTCTCTATCTCTCGAACAAAGACCTGGGTCCCGTTACACACATTTCATTGTTTTTACTCTCTATCTCTCGAAGTTTTGATTGCGCGTGTGTACGCACCAATTAAGTGTAAACTTAATGCAGCTTGGAGTTACCTGGATAACAGTGAACACCTGGGGCTGGCATGGAGGTGTTAATTGGGTGTTTACATAGATGACACTACCTGTGAGCATCCGAGTGTTGATATAATTAATTGGTTATACTTGGTAAATTATAAACAAATTGCTTCACAACTTTTGACAGTGGGACGACGATTTTAAGAAAATAATTTAAGAGACGTGTCAATAATTTTTCATAGATTATGAAGTCTACATAATCCCAGTATGGCAAACATTGCACAAGAAATCTTATCTCAAGAACTGAATACCGATTTAATATGAGAAATCTGGTGAACGACCCGATCAATCGTGGGGGGTAGCCATACCGACGATTGCTATTCAGGTGTCATGTAATCACGAAATGAGAACAAATAAATATTGAAACTTATAGAGATCGTTTTATTTTTTCAAAATACGATCATTGTTGTCGAAATCAAGTGAATTACCTGTAAAATACGAATGAAAACCAAACGTGCAATGACATTATAAACATATACTTCCGGTATTGTTAATATAAGAACAATGATGATCGGAACTGAAAATTCCGGATTTTATTCACTTTCTATCTCTCTAACCCCTTGATCTCTCGAACTTTTCTTGCGGTCCCTTGAACTTCGAGAGATCAAGAGTCACCTGTATATTAGATATTTAATTAACCTTGGCAGATCTCTTTCAAATTTTAAAGAAAATATACTTGAAATTAATTTTCCTATAATAAGATTATTGTTTTAAGATGTTGAGGCGTAAAGTAGTTTATTTTCCCAGAGAAAAGGAGGAGGAGGAGAGAGAGGTGAAGATTTTTGAGAGCAAAGGTAAAAACCAGAGAAAGAAGATGAACGTATTGTTGTCACTAAATGAAGAAACAGAGGAAATGTAAGTTTATACGAAGATTTCAATTGTCATTTCTGTTCTGGAATACTTGTTAGTTTTTTTCTCACATTGCCATGCAGAAGAGAAATATTGCAAAACAGTTATTTAGAAATAGTTTTGATTTAAATGTACATGTTTGTAATTGATTCTTAGAATTCAAAGACAAAGCAATAAGTCATTACACAGATGTTTTAAGAGATTTATCAATGCCATAAGCTTGTGTATATAAGTGAATATGTTTGATACCATGTATATTTTTTTCTTTCAGACCAGTTAAAAAGGTCAGTGCAACTTCAACAAAGAGCTCACCTGGAAAGAAAAAGAAACGGAAGAATGCTGACAATGAGAGCATTGACAATTCTGAAGGTCAGACTGTGAAAAAGTCCAAAAAAGATAATCTGAATGATAGTAAAGAAATCAAAGGTGGGATGTTTACAAGGAAAATAGACAAGAGGAGTAAGTCAGTGGTGAAAGAAAGCCCAAAGAAGAGGGATAGAAAACAAGAGAGCAGAAATATCGGAAAAGATGTGTATGTAAAAATTGATAGCAATGACATGAGCATGGTTTCTGATAGTGAGAAGAAAATAAGAGAATCAAAAGAACACGAAGAAAAGGTAAAGTTCCATTCAGAGAGTGAAGAAAGCAAAACAAAACACACTGAAAAGGGTAAAAAAAGTAAAAAGAAGAAAAGTCAAGATGATGGGAAGACCTTGTCACAGGAGGCATCTGAAAATGACACAGGGAACAGGCTATCAGGTGGAATAAAGGAGGCAAAAAGACTAGACACAGTGAATTCACCAGAGGACAATAGTGTGACTACTACCCCCACAGAGTATCAGCAAATGTCTGGTGACACAAGCAAAAAGAGGAAAAACAAGAGGAAAAAGAAGAAAAAGAAGGGAGGACCTCCTAAATTATCTAGTGAGAGACTTCTGGCTTTTGGAATCAATCCGAAGAAAGTCAAGTACATGAACATTAATAAGTTTAAAGAGCAGACACAAGGTTGAGATAGCTAATGGTGTTGTCTGACAATAAAATGTTAATAGTAGCATTTGTTGATTGGTTCTTTATACATGTAAATACCCTTTATTAAACATTAAATTCATATGGCATCATCAACATTTACTTCTGTATGGGACATTAAATACTGAAGTTTATTCCTTCATTTGGCTTTCTTTAGTGACTGTACCCTACTGATGCGTTAACTATTGCAACATCCGATGGTATTCCTGTCTGTGAAATCATCCTTAAGTAGTTTTCCTGTTCATTAGGGCCCTGCTCTGCGGGTGCCCTACAGTGATCAGTCTGTCCGTCCTTCCGTCCATCTGTCCGTCCGAGATCTCTTGTCCGGAGCATATCTTCTCTCTCCTTGGCCCAATCTGGCTCATACTTCACCCACAGAGTGTCTTTGGGTAAAGGGTGTGCAGTGACCTTGAACCATGTTTCAAGGTCAAGGTCATAGCAGAATTATATGAAAAATCCTTGTCTGGAGCATATCTTCTCTCCTCTTGATCCAATGTGGCTCATACTTCACTCGCAGAGTGGTACTGGTTAATGGATGTGCAGTGACCTTGAACAAAGTTTTTAGGTCAAGGTCAAAAATAGCCTCTCTGTTTAAATCCATGTCCGGAGCATATCCTCTCTCCTTGGCGCATACTTCACCCACAGAGTGCCTTGGGTAAAGGGTGTGCAGTGACCTTGAACCATGTTTCTAGGTCTAAGGTCAAGGTCATAGCAGAATTATATGAAAAATCCTTGTCTGGAGCATATCTTCTCTTCTCTTGGTCCAGTGTGGCTCATGCTTCACTCACAGAGTGCCACTTGTCAGTGGATGTGCAGTGACCTTGAACGAAGTTTCTAGGTCAAGGGTCAATTTCAAAAATAGCCTCTCTGTTTAAAATCTTTGTTCGGTGCATAATCTCTTTCCCTTAAGTCCAGTCAGCCTCAAACCTTACCAATTGACTTAGGGTATGGATCATTCGTGATTTTCCTTCCATATTTCTGATAGAGGATATGCAACAATTTTCATAGAGGATATGCAGCATTGATTTTTGTGCCGTTTTTTGATGGAAGGTGTTGAGCACTCGTGATTTTCGTGCCAATTTTTATTATAACGAGGATAACATAGAAGCCCTTTAGACTCAAACAACACATCCCTTAATAGTACACAACTGTTCCTCTTCAAAATAAACCCTTTTCAGCTACCTTACATTTCCATGTTCATTGCTGAAAGCTGGGCCCTTTGAGATGGCACCATCTCAATGATATCTAGTTTTTTTTCATTTTTCTGCACAGTTAATATTATTCTTAATAATGAACACTGTACTTAGTATTCCTTGAATAGCACTTTCTGTCAATCCCATTCCTCAAATGGAATGACATAAAGAGCAATAATATTGATAGAATTTCTACAAATATTTCTATGAATATTTTTTGGGGGGGAGGGGGGCATCCATATAAGATCAATTGCTATTAAATCAATATTTTTTCTTGGTGCTTTCTACCTGAGGAAATGCAACCACTAGTTTTCATGCAGAAATACAAAATTAAGATTTAATATGCCTGTATTGAGCCCACAACTAAAACATTCTTCAGGGTATGACTGTAATCTCGGCTGAGATTTGACTTGGCTAGATACATGTTATTTAGACTGATGTCAACGTAGGTGTCAGTCTAAATATCCAGTCTAGTCGAATCTCGGCCAACATTAGGTATGACTACATTAATTTTTCTACCGTTTTTCTTTCGAATCATTATTGATAGACCACTCCTGATCGGATACACGACAGTGCATTAGTTATTTTCATTCATATATTGCAGTGAACTCGAAATAAAAGACACCACAAAATCTGCCACATCTGTTGCATAGTTGAATGTTAATATACAGGTCTACTATAGATGTTAATTGGCCAGCTAACAACTAAACTATAGGATTAACATCACTAAAGGTGTAATGTCCCTCCGATAAGAAAGATAGCTTTCCAAGGAAAGAATTCTGAGCAATCCACTGAATTGTCCTACCAAACTACAATAATGAGGACCATTGTATAGTCAGTTCAGTCAAGTCTGCGCTATGTTACAAATATTTGATTTTTATTTTTTATTGCCAATATTTTTGAAAATTATTTATAATAGTTTACCTAGAACATTTGTTCTTTTAACCTGTTAAAATTGAGGTATTTCTATCTCTTAACATAAAATTATTTTAATTGTTACAGGAATTTATCATTTATCCGATGCAGAATTTTCATAATCAATTTTTTTTCTCTTAAAAAATATTTAGGAAGAAAGCTAATCTTGTAGATGGATGCATTTTTATTTTACAAGCACAGAAAACGATGTGATATTCTGATTTAAAAAGTAACGCTTCATTATGTTTTCCAATATGAATTAAATAGATACGACAGTAAATATTAGTTTCATATATACCTCTTTTTTTGTGCAATAAAAAATTATTGATCTTTCGATTCACTGTCTTAAATTTTCTTCATATCATTATTAAATATAATATTTTCTTTTTTGAAGAAGTAAGCAACGCTTCATACTTCAAACTATTTTCCATTTGAATCTAATGCTTTTGTTGTTGATGAAAATCAATGTTGGGAATTTAAAGAAAAAATGGTGAAATTTAGAGCAGAGGGATATTTCACCTTAATTTCCATCGTCAACTTCCCTAAATATGTAGTAATATTCCACTATTAATTGCATATGGTGTTTATGCCTCCCAACAGATTCGGTACGCGGGAGCATATTCTGAGTACAATCAATTTTAAACCGAGGCACACTACTGAGAAATAAGTTGAAGTAAGAGGGCTTTCAACAATTCTCTTTAGAAGTCAGCATTTCTCTGTGGTCCTCATAATGACCGTGTTTGCAAGTACAACCTACTGTCGAGTCGTATTTTGACTGACATGCTTTAGCCACTGTTTTCTTAAATTAATTTTTGCTACGAAATTCTCCGTTTATCGGTTGTTAAATGCCGTGAACAGATTATAACGTGCATCTTAACCCATCTTTCCTTTGCAGTTGCCAAGCTAAATATACCATGAAACATTGTTAATTTAATTATAGTTAAGATTTATTTCTAATTTTAGTGACAATGCGGAATAAACTTGTGTCACATCTGGTCTGAAAAATTGTCAATGTCTCTAATATCTCAGGCATGATTCACCGCTTTCTTAATTTTTTTGGTCTTGAAATGAAATTTAAATAGTGTACAGATCAAGCAGAAACAGAATAATACTACCGTCTTTTTCAGTCTGCTTATGTAGATGTATATAGGAATAGAGCTTACTTGGATGAAAAAAAGGTGAAAATAACGAACAGTGATCGATCTCAAAAAATCTACAAAGAATACAAATCTTTTAGCAAGCTTAAAACACGGACCTCCCAGGGAATTCCAGAGGTGAGATTAGGAGCCTAATAGGAGTAAGCATCCCCTGTTGACCCATTACACCCACCGTGGGCCCTATGTATTGATCAGGTAGACAAAACATTCTGTAGCCAAATATAGTATAAAAAACAAAGGCCTAACAATATGTCGAGAAAAATTTTTCTGGTATACCATAGGGACTTGTCCCGAAATATTTACCTTCTTTTTATTAAATATAGTTACTTCTACTATATATATTTTTTTCATGGTAGGGATATATAGTTAAACTATATTTAAAAAAAAAAAGAAGGTAAATATTTCGTGATAAGCCCCAGTGAATTAACCAGGTCTTGTAGAGTAGGTTTTCCCCTCTAAAATCTTTCCCCTGGAAAACTGGGTAAAGAGTAGAATGCTCCCCTTCCCCGAAAAATACTCTTAGAGTAGGATTTCCCCGGCGGATACTGTACGTGTACATATATTAGCGTATTTAAAAATTTAGCGGAATCACTGGGTATTGAGTTATTGGCGTATTCATGAATTAGCGTTACACACTAACGCACCATATATTGTATTTATTTCTTAGCGGTATTTTATGAATTAGCGCATCGTTGTCCGCGCCAAATCCGCTAAAATATAAAGCCCGCTTTTCCAAGTACACAGTATGCCACACCAGATTCAATTTTCCGAGGGAAAATCCTACTCTGTGTGATAATTATAGAGTGCGATTTTCTCCAGATCCAATCCCCCCAATAAAATGCCATGTCTCTACCTTTATATGAGGAAAGAGGGAGGGGCACATTGTTACAAGTGTCCCTTCTATAATTTTCCCACAGGTACTCTCGCAGTAGACAATCTTAATGAAACTTTTACAAGAAAATCGAATCAAAAAATCTAGTTGTGCGTTTAACATTTATATTCAAAATGGCAACCAGTAAATATACGAAGTATGAAAATTTTAAATCTAATTTTTCTCAGTAACTGCCAAACCAATTCTTTTGAAGTATTGAAGTCTTTTTCTTTTCATATGGTCAGATTGGTTTCTACAAAATGGTACAATGTAATCATTCTATACATAGGGGGCGCGTCATCAAGCTAACACTGTGTAGCACGTGACCTGTGTGTACACATTGCGATGTAATCAGTTGGGCAAATTTTTATTTGTAACCGAAGAAACAAAAAGGACGAAACTCATTTTATTTTGAATAGATTTTTTTTTCTCCGATTGCAGTTCAAACTATATGCACCTAATTCTTGTACTGATGTGTGTCTCTCAAAGTTTCTTGGATTTACATATCCAGAATAGGTGAAGCTATCAAAATGGGTCAAATAAAATTTTGCAGGATTTTTTAAAAGAGAGTATTTGCTGTCTGCTTTCAATTCCACTATTACACCGTTGGGGTAAATGGGACATATGCTATGGCTTGCAGGAGCTATGTTTTGATTTTTGGCTTTTTTTCTTTTTTCCCTTTGACCGTTCACGGTAGCTCAGTCGGTAGAGCGCTTGCTTCGTGATCGGGAGGTCTTGAGTTCGAATTTCGGCCGCGGCTGACCTAAGTCGATAAAAAATGGATAGGAACTGTTCCTTCGCCAAGCACTCGGCACTTTGAAGTGAAAGTTGCGGGTCCTTCGGATGAGACCTTAAAAACCGAGGCCCCGTGTCACGGCAGGCGTTGGCA